GCGAGTTGAGGCTGCCTTATACAAATCTACAGTTTTTTTACATGCTTACTTCACGTTTTTACGTAGAAATATTGTCCAAAACACACTTATTATAACTTAACTCGAAAGATCCAAACTTTATACATAAACATACAAGCCATCGCGCTACCATATTTGATCCGGTGTCACGCGGATTGAAAAGAAGATAGAGCACTGGTTTCGGCCAGTCAACGCTGTGTGCCCTCGCTACGCGACAACCTTCGAGGGAGCGACGCAAACTCAAGATCGTTTCAGCGAGCTGACGATATAAGCTAAAAAATGACATCGCACGTCTTTGAGGGATTTATTAATGCATTTATTAATTTATTATGATTTATTAATATAATTCTGTTCTGTTAGTCAAATGTTTCCGTGTGATTTTAAAGATGTTTCACGTCAAAAGGATCAGCCATGATCCACATTTTGAGAAAAAATTATTTATTTATTTTTTCAATGACTTTATTAACTTTGCATGTTAGCAAAAAAACTTGATGAGATATATGTCGCGGACGAATTTGGTCGTAAAGGTCCAGGGAGATGTCGGTCGGTCGCTTAGCTGAAGAATTGTCCCCAGCGCCAACCCGACCCTCCCTGAAGCCACACCGAAGCGAAACCTGAGGGGTCGCGTCCGCGGGTGAAGTTTGTCATAGACAACTCTGTACGAAGATCGTCCTAGCGAGAGGGTGCCCCGGCTTGGCCAAGAATCCGGACGCGTAACCGAGGGTCAGCTGCTCTCTCCGAAGTTTGGGAGGAGTAAGTTGGGAGGTCGCAGCACAGACTGGCCAAGGGGATGGTCCTGAACGCCCCCGAGATCGTCGAGTCTATATACAATACAGTAAAATACTCCCACGTACTCTAAAAAACGGAACAGGGGACCCAGAAATCGACCTCTGTGCTCGAGAAACATTCTTAAATCCTTCGGCCTACACACTCTCTGTATGAAACCAAAGCATGACACGTTTCTGTTATGTGAGATACATCCCACTTCTGTAAAATAGTCGTGACGGAGGCACAGAAAATTCAAAGAAAGCTCATTAACGTTATATAAAATATTTCATGCCAATGTAAATTTTACCGCTTTTCCCGAATGGGCCTTTCCTTAACTTATAACATTATAACAACTTATAACATCCTTGTTAACTTATAACATTTTATCTGCATCGCCGTATGGAAATAAGAAGTGTTTAGATCAACAGCTCTAATAAATAACATGTTAAAAAATATTTATAACAACTTTGGCATTATGCGACCTGTCAAAGACCTTGAGTTGATCACAAGATTCTGCTAGATAAGCTGTATCACTATGGTATACGGGGATCCTCATTAGATTTTGCTCAGGCTCTATAATTGATTGATATCAAATTGTGACTGTAAATAATACCTCATCCAAACAAAGTAAAGTGGGGTTGCCTCAGGGCTCCATTTTGGGCCCGATATATTCTATTAATTATTTAAATGGCATAAATGTAATGTAAATAGTTTAAACAATAATATTTTGATTGTTCCAGCTTTTTACGAAACTTTGATAGTCATGCTTTAAATTTGTTATTAAATGTAATTTATGACTATTTCAATGCAAATTTTTTATTGCTAAATATGATAAAAAATCCTTTTATTAGCTTTAACATGAATCAGTCAGACTGTGATAATGTTAAAATCCTATGTTTTATTATCACGATCATATAGATATTGTATGTAATAAATTATTATCTATATCCAATAAACCACGAAAACAACAAAATATAAAACAAAGTTAAATGTAAGAAATGCAGAAGACATTGTAATACTGACGTACAAAAAACAAACACAAACAATAGCGCTGAGGTCTTTTCAAAGAAACTTTATAAAATGTGACACGGAAAATTAAAAACCTAGGTAAAAATAAATTTTTAGTTATGGTAAATTTTGAATTTCTGATTCACAACGGCAACTTTTAAAATGTTTTTACGAGTTTGAAATGCAATGTTTTACCATTGTAATTAAACAAATAAATCTAGAATAGAATATTTTATCTATGGTATCCGACTAATCGTTTCGGTTGTCCTTAACGCCGACCACGAAGTTTTAGGTTTTAAGGAGAATAAAGTCGAAAGCATTTTCACATGATCCCTTCGACATTAACAACTCGCGTTCCTCGGCGATCGATAGTTCATTACTTATAAGCGACCGAAAAAGAGCTTCAACGTCAAGTCTAACTTCAAAACAAAGAAGGCTAAATAATAAGAAAGTCTATTCGCCTTTCTAAGAGATTCGTTCTTAGTTAATGCTAAAATAATGATAGTTGCCCATAAAGACCCTTCTCCTGTTTTAAGTCGTATGAACGGATATTAACTTAAGTTTTATTTCATTCTTTTCGGTTAATTTATCAATTGTACGCAGAAATTCGACGTTCCGTGAAGAAAGAAAACGTATCGCCATTTTTAACGAAAATGCGGTAAGCAGAGGAGCGCCGAAAGCTTACTAAAAGAAATTCCCCCAGCTATCTTGTTAATCATCTGACAAACACCATTCCACCATTTTCTTTGAGTGCAACTCCGAATCGAATATTAGATCACAGGTTTTTAATTTACGGGTCATTACTGACTTTTATCTTTATCAACAGGTATAAAATCAATTTATAGATTTTGTACTATAGTTTACGGTAGGATTTTAACATGGACAAAAATATTTTAAGCAAATTTGCGCCATTTGTTGCTTGGTACTTCAGATTATACTAATCTCTTTGTTTTGGTCTGTCCATCTTTTGTAGGGGGATTTGTGCCCCAACGACCTTACAGGTTTATCACCTCGCAGAACTCAAGTGGAAATTCCACCTTCTTTTTTTTAATCACTGGCTAAGTTTGACCGCAGAACTTTTGAAGCAAAACTTTTGCTTTTCGAAGTGAAATTTTTTTTCATATTGTACATATTCTACTGTATATAAAACAACAATAATAATGAGTTCTGCTGTATATAGACATTGACTTGACTCTTGTTTTTCAAGAAACCTATGAGTTCTTCATAGCCCAATGAAGGTGATATACTTTTTATTTTTATTTGATACAAAGAAAATTTTACCGCCATATTTTTGTTTAAATGAGTTTCAAAATAAAGAACTATAAAAAAAATCATACAATGATATGTAGCCATAATAAGACAGGGTTACCGATTATTGCATGGGTATGATTGACTCTAAAGAAGTTGACACTGACACAGGGTGTGTCCACATCACGGTTGCTCCCAATGGTGTAAATGGTGGAATTGTATGAGGTGATTCGAGACAATGGTGGCTCCTCTTAGCTGGTCTGCACAGACTCTCTCACAGTTACCGCTGTATGTGACAGGTTCTCCATTAACCCTCTCATTGTGCTCTCCTTGAGAGATACCATGAACTGGAATGTCACAGCAAAACGGTCATACCCGGACACACAGGAGATGAGGTAGCTAAGGTCACTTACATCAAAAGGTCCAACCTCCGGACAAAACCACTCCAATCTGGCCCCTGATGCCAAAAATGCCATAAAAAACATGACTGAAAGTGATAGCGTCAGTGGGCTGGATCAGCAGATCTTGGGTATCAACAGCACTATCGATAGGTTGCCCTCAGAGGGCCTGACTTGAAGAAGAAAGGTCATCCTCACTCTACCAAGAATATGCCATGCAAGTTTGAAACACGGACACTTATTTTTAGGACAAAGCCCATACATGTGTCCGGCATGCAGAGAAACATTGTTCGATGTTCCTCACCTAATTGAAGGGTGCAATTCCTTGGCTCCATATAGAGAGCACATAAAAATGCCAACCGATATGAGAATTGTGTTTGAGTACGGCAGTGAGTATCTGTTCTGATTCTTGGAAGAAACAGGGTTTTTTTATTGTTTATAGTAATGATAGTTCTCTGTCCTGTGTTGAGAATGGTGTAATTTATTAGCATGAATGTGTAGTGTGAGGGGGTCTATGGCAGAATAATAGGTGTAATGGATGATGGAGGAATTTGAGTATCTCATCATTGAGTAAATGGTATGTTAATAGGAAAGGATGTATTTAAGAATGAGTGAAAGTGTGAATGGGTTTGGATTTAGGAAGTGATTGTTCGCTGAAATGAACTAGATGTTGGTGGAGCCCTACCTCCATGGCTGGACGGATAAGACTGAGATGTGATGATATTAATATCTCTATTAATTATCATCCTTCAATATGATAATAGTAAGCCAGCCGGATGAGGAGGGGATTTTTAAAAATAACTAAAATGTCAAAATTTGACCAAGAACATTATGGAATCAATTTTACAGTTTTGGTTTGTAAGATATTAACTAAATACAGTGCAAATGAATTATTTTATACCGTTAGTTGTAAAATGACAAAATTCAACAAAAAGTTATTTTAAGGCCACAGACCTTGTGTATTTTCAGCAATTATTGAAATACAGTGTAGCTAACAATAATGACTTTGGAATGGTATTTATTTTGATATGTAAATTTTTGTGTGTGGTTGTTTTGGGCCTTTTGGAACAAAATATATCAGATTTATAATGCAATAACTATTAATAAACGAGTTTAGTGACATCAACAATAAGGACAAACAAAATTTTTTATTGAATTGTTTTATTTAAGTTTTTTTAAACTTCTTTCCAACTAGTAAATAACTTTAATTTTGTAAGTAATATTGGAAATAATTAAATTCTTAAATTTTTGGCACAAAGCATTAAATCTGTCTTCAAACAATTGTTATCTCTCAAAAATAATATTATAATGTATTATTATTATTTTTTAAATTATTTTCAATTAAGACAATCAAACCAGCGTTGACAATATTTTCCTGTCTTTACTGAATATTTTATTTATTTAAAAAAAATCTTTTGGTTCACAAATTTATCTTGCCATAAAGGTTGTGCGTTTTGTTGAAATCTAAAATCAAACACTGTTAGTAAAAAATGGAAAAAAAGAAAAAATAAGAATACTGCATTTTTTTGGTTACAAACTGATTGAAGCTTTTCATTTCAGCTTGCAAACGGAAAGACGAATCAACGATCCACTCAGACCATACATCTGCTCCCAAGAAACCACGTTTAGTTTTCACAGACCTTCAGCGACGTACCCTGCAGGCTATTTTTAAGGTAATATTACCTGATCCCTTGCCATGATCATCAGACAAATTTTACATTTTAAACAAAAAATATATAGATGTAAGAGTATTAACAGTTAAATAGTAACTAAGTAAACATCTAACTAATTAATGGAAATAATTCAGTGCTCAGTTAAACTTCATTACTTTTAAACTATAATTTAACTATTCAGAAATCGTGAGATGCGGTCTGGTGTGATGTAGGTTTCAGAAAAACATTTTCTTTATCGTGCCAATGTTTCGATCTTTATTGAGATCATCTTCAGGGCTCAAAGTGTTTGTCTTCTGTGTAATTGTGCCATTCTTGCGTGTCGTGTTGAAAGTGCCAGTCGTTGGAACGATAAAGAAAATGTTTTTATGAAACCTACATCACACCAGACCGCATCTCACAATATCTGAATAATTATCGACTAACAGTCACTAATCACCATACATTTCTATAATTTAACGTTGCCTTTCAATTTTTTCCTTCTAATTGCTTAGACAGATGGAGGGGGGAGTGATTTCAATTAAATTGCCAATTTTACAAGAAACCTTTGTAGACAGACAATTAATTTTACAAGAAGTCAGGGGTTTTAAACATCTGCATCTACCCAGTTATTTCCATACTGTTAGCATGAAAATTCATGAGAGTAAATATATACAGCAACCCGTCCCTTTTTATACTAATCATTTCCCCTTGATGAAGATAACATGATTCAAAGAAAATTGTTTTCACTTATAACAAATCTATACTTTCTTCAATTGTGTAACACAATAGTTTTAAAATTAAACAAAAATTTGAAAAATATTTATTTATAATATGCAATTGCTATTTTTAGTTTACAGTTTAGTTTAGTTTTAGTGTTTTGATTCTATCCACCTAATCCTGATTTTGGTTATCAAACAGTTAACTTGTAAAATAGTTTTATCTTTTACATATGTTAAAGATGATTATTAATTTTTGTATCTTGATGTACTTTTGGCATGTAATGGAAAAAGAGAATTTTAATAAGACCATTAACCACAAAGCAACTGTGTCTATAGATAAGATTGATGATGGATGGGTGTTTCTGTATCAGGACATTAGTAATATTTAATGGTGAAAAGGATACGAGCTGGCTGTTGCTGTTGAGCCAGAGGAACCTTCTGATGTACTTCAAAACTAAGCCATTGTTGCTAATTGTATAACATAATTCCAACTTAGGCAGATAAAATTGGGACAATATTTTTACATCTTGATTTAAATTGTTATCTTCTTTCTAGGAAACGAAAAGGCCTTCAAAAGAGATGCAGGTGACCATCGCAAGACAACTCGGACTAGAACCAACAACAGTTGGCAATTTTTTCATGAATGCAAGAAGACGATCAATGGATAAGTGGAAAGACGAGACTGAAACAAAACCATCTGGGAACATCCAGTCACCTAGTGACAACATTGGCCAGCAAGACCTCTTGTGACATAGTCCATTTCCAGTACAACATCTCGTCTTTCTATGAGCTTACCATGTCTTCACTGCACAGACTGTTGGCACCCTATTTCTCAAGTACGATCTGCACAGTTCTTGTATACAATATCATATAGAAATATCGGGCCGTACTTGTTTCAATAGTGCAAAGGAGATTCATATGGAAATATCTAACATTCCGTCCACTGGGTACAATGAACCCATATTTTGCCAAAAGTTTAAAAAAAAAATCAGTGACAACATATATACCCTGGTTACTGTTCTATGAATATTCTATATTACAAAGCATAATAATTAATAACTACTATTATAATAAATATTGTTTGATATATTTTTTAAAGTTTTCACTTCTTCAGATTCTAACATTCTAATTGTTTCAGAACTTAGTAAACAAAGATGTGATGTTATTTGGTAACAGACAATTATTTTATTTTGTCTAGTTACTGTGGGATAAGCGGTTTATCTAGTCTGGTAGAGTGTCGGTTTTGCTGTAATCATTGATAAAAGAATGAATGTTATTCGAATAACGCTCACCCTTTCCTTAAGTGGATATACTTATGAAATTAGTACAACTGAACTCGCACATTTGTATAAAATGGACAAAAATTTAGATATTCTTATTTATAATGTACAATTAAATATATGAAGAACTGTGTATGATTGGGTAGAGGAAATAGTTGTGCCTTGCATTAAGACAATAGCACCTTTGGGAGATGAAGCTTTAAAGTACTCCATTGCCAATGTACTTATATAAAACAAGTGTCCTAACACTAAAAATTACTATTGAAAAAAAATCAGAATCATACTTCATAATTGTGACAACAAAATGCAGTGCTCAAAGCAATATCTTGAAACTTTTTTATTTATTTAATGATTTTTTTAGCATTTGAGGTGCCATATTTTATTATTTACAGCCACCTTTTTCTAATTTATGAATGAAAAATATAATTATTTTGAGCAGTGTATGCTGTTGAGAAAGTGTAGAAGTTCTACAATTTTATTGTTTCATTTTAAAACCAAAGATTATTATTCATTTTTGCAAAACAACGATTATTAATCGACAGAGTTATTTATTTATTACTGATTTTTTAAGTAAAAATATACTACATTAATATCTTCAGTAGATATTGTTTTCGGACAGTCATGGAATATATAATTTTTTAATTTAAATTTTATATTTAATTTATGTAGCTTTTATCAAAACAGACTCCAAATGTTCTGTGTTACATTCTTAAAGATGTATGTTTATTTTAATCAGTTAAAACGTAAAGTGATATTAAAACATTCCTTCAATATTGTATCTAGTCTTAAGGAAATGTCATAGAGATATCTAGTCAAAAAAAGAAATGAATTAATTTATTTATTGTTAAAGTTTTTGTTCTAGTCAAAAAAAAAAATGTTGTTAATATGCCTAAAGTCAAGGGTTTCACCATAACAAAAAACAATTTCCACTAGTCTTGATTCGAATTCGAGTTTTAACATTCCAATGATAATTTGCCAAAGAAGGTTTTTACTATGTAAAAAATGAATTTATATATATATTTTTTTTTGGGGGGGGGGACACAAACCCTAGTATCCTCATCACAAACACCATCACATATATATTTTTATTATTTATTTTAAATATACTTTTATTTTTAATCTATTTTTTTAGCATATCTTTTATAAAAGTTGATAAGTTTTGAAAAATGGATTAAGTTAGTAAAAAGTACTTTTTAAGAATCATGCGTAATATTTTTTTAAAGTTACCACCTACTGGGTTGATGAATATCACAATGCTATTCATATTTTACACTTTTTCCTTTATTTAATTTTTGTATGAGAAACAAGCGTATTTATTTCTCTTAGTTGCATCATAAATTATTACGCTTTTTTTTTTAATTTAAAGTAATGAATTATTTTCACCATTAAAATTTTGAGGATTTTATCATGGGTCAGAATCGGGAAACTACTCATTAACAAGGATTTACTTGGTGTTGAAGCACTTTTTACCTATTTACAAAATATTACAAATAAAAGCTTTTGAAGAAACACTGGTAATTCACAAAGAAAACTAATCAAGAACAAGAAGTTGTAGAAATTATCATTGATATATTGACTCCAACCAAATTTAAAAATGTATCAAATATGTGATTTGTTCTTTTATAGAAATGGGACATTAACATTTTAAATGTAACAATTCATATTGTTAGGAAAAGAGTCTGTGGCATCAAGGAAAAATGATATGCTTTAACTGAAATTGTAAATAAAACATTACCTTGTAAATAATATATATATATAATATTTAATTTGTAAAGATTGATTGGTATGCATGATATAAATGGATAAATTAAGAATAGTTGATTGAGAGCACATGTATTTATATGCTGTTAATTAGTGTAAATTGAGAAACAAAATATTGTTAATGAAATTTTCAACATACCTGTTAGCCCAATGATAAAAATCCTACAATCTAAATTATATGTAAAAATACATTAAATTAATATGTTGCATGTAGATATCTCAGGAATTTATAATTCACACTTTTGCAACTTGTTCAGTGTCAAGTTTGTTTGTTTAAAATAAATGTCTTAAGCATTTGTAAAATCGTAAACATTCAATCAATGAATTGTTGATTTGCAGGATAAAGTAGTATACACTTGTGCTTATCTGTATTATTTATTATTATGATTCTTATTAATATTATTATTGATATATATATGATCAATTTTATTATTTTTTTGTTAGTTTTGCATTGAATATTGACAAAAACCTTCTAGGTGATGATTCCATTTGTGACATTGTGACAGTGCAATTAGTGACATTGTTTAATCGTCCATTCCTTTTCACTTATATGAAATATTGATCCTTAAAAAGTTTTCAGATGAAAGTGCGGTCTTGTACTAGCTTTAATCCTTGGACTTTCGAAAATTTAATGTTAGTAGTACTTTTAGTAAAGTTTTGTCGAATGTTGCATCTATGAATTACGAGAAATTTATATCAGTTAATAAAAAATATCAACTGAATTATTTTTTTCTATATCTGCAAATTCATAATCCAATTAGTTGTGTAGTTCAATCTTTATACAGGTTTTCTGTTCAAAAATGAGGTTTTAGTTATAGTAAAAATCGTAATTAAGATAGCATTTCATGTGAAACAATAAAACATAGCAAATATACAAGTATTTATCTGTATAATCTGTTTGTGAAAAGACAATCACATTCAATAAAGAAGTATGTACAGCTATTATAAATGATTTAGAAAATATTTACATGTTTCATTTACATTATAGAAATTCATTTGTATTACCGTAAATCAATGTTCTGTGAGCCATTGTGCTCTTCGTCCGGTTCACTAATAGATGTAAATTTCTATGCTAATTCAAGGGAGTGCACAAAATAAGCTAAACTTTGTTTGCTTTTATATTTACATTGTATTGCCCTCTCTTTTCTTTTTTCACTATTGTGAGATGATTCTTCTGTAACAAGCAGACAACCTAAAATCAAAGAACTTGGCATGAAGAGGTTTATACAAAGTTTATGTTATGTAAAAAAAGATTAAATCTCTTTTTAAAGAGTTTATAAAATAAAGTATTTGTAATGTAGTTTTGCCATGATATAAATAAAAATAACAATGTACATTTCTATTAAAAAAAGAAAAGAAGAANAATATTTAATTCTTATAAAATGTACAAAAGTACAAAATATAGCTAATGTAAATAATTCTATTATATGAACAGACTATAATGTAGTAAAAATTGTGTAAACATATGCAGTCTTTTTGTTGTTTTGTTTTCTGTAAATATGCCTTATAGTCACTATGTGTGGAGTTGAGACACTATTGCTTTATAGTATATATTATCAATCATATTTTTTTCCAAATTTGTTATTGTGTGATGATGTTACTGTGAATAATTAATTTTATAATTTATTGGTAGTTAAAAATTTACTGCAACACAAAAGTGTGTAATAAAATGAAATAACATCCAATTTAATCAATTTGCTGTTTCTTGTTGTCTATTAGAAATGAAATATTCTTAAATAATTGTAAATAAAGAATAAGAGATTAAGCGTGTGTATACATATACACAAATACACAAATATATACATACATATAACATATACATATTGTATGTGTGTATTGGGAAAAAAGGAAATCAAAACAAAGAATCATTGACAATTAAAATTTAAATAAAGCCCGTTAATTATATTGTTTCATTCAGTAATGCATGAGGGATCAAAGACAAAATAATACTAATAATCATTTAAGATAGCATTAGTTCGTTTAGTATTTGTGAAATAAATGACGAACAGGCAATTAATAATTAAAGGGCAATTGTTGAGAAGAGAGTAAAATGTCTATATATTTAATACATAAAAATTCAGTTTGTTGAATGGGCACATGTGTTTGATAATAGAAGACATTACTTTTATAATTGTAATTCTAATTGTTTCTGTTTCATTTTATTTAGAAATCAGCTCGTAGTGCCTGAAATTTGTAATTATTTTACCTGATATAAACAAAATTGATATAGAACTTTTTAAGAGACATATTTTTGTGTGAATGAACACCTTTATAGAATGATAAAAATGTTTAAAGAAAGAAAAATAAAAATTTCTTTGCTTGTGTATTAATTATTAAATTAAAATGTCACATACTCACACAAAGGAAAAACAGTTGTCTGTTTCTATAAAGCACAAAATACAAGTGAGAAATGCTTTCACAAATAAATAAAAATGGATAAAAGGCATTGGACAATTTTATTTTGTACTTGTGGTGCAATAAAAATGTTTCAAATATTTAAAAAAAATTACTGGTTTTAGAAATTAGTCTCCCAGAATTGATAAAAACAGCTATTTGCTATAATATTAGGGATATTTGGGTATTTTAAGATTCAGATTGTGCCTAAAATTATATGTAGTTTGTTCTATTTGTTTACAACTAGTTGCCCATGTAAATGTTCATTATTATAATTATAATGTTTTCAGTAATATTTGGATAAAAACAGAAGTGTAAATACATGTTTGATAAAGACAGTATAAATTGGACATGGAGTGTTATTGAATCAAAACAACAAAAAACAATAATTTTAATTAGAAAACAATAATCTTTCTTTTCCATTTTAATGTACGAAGAAAATTGCACATTATTTAATTTTAATATCATTGTACAAATTATTACAATTTGTCATATACACTTAGTCAATGTAATATTACTTTCTTTCCTAAATGTTTATTTGCAACTAAGGTATGCAATAATTCCAAAAATTGTGATTATATATTTATTATATAAGTTCCTTTAATTTAGGATATTTTTATTCAGTTTTATTTTTTGAGAGAGAAACATATCACACAAACATACACACACCTTCACACTATGCCCCTCTTGAATTACTATAAATATAATTTAAATATTTTTGTTTTTATTTTCTTTAAAAATCCTAAATCTGCTTGATTTCAAGTTTTTGGTTAGGCCTTGAAATAATTGCCAAAGGGAGCAAAATTTTTGGATAAGATATTTAAATATTTTTTTATTACATTTAAGTATTTTATATACATGCATAACTACAATTTTTGTAATTATGTATGTCCATTGATTGTATTACTTTTATGTTTACCTCATGTATTGGAATGTGTAATTTTGAATCTCATCTTTAAGAGCAACATTTCCAGTTGGAAACGGCAACAATATATTGTAGATTAAAATAGATACATAGGTTAAATTCTTCATAGAAGAATGACGAAACTTGTATTACTGATGTATTTTTTAGTAAATGAATATATTAATTGGATTTGAATATAAAAAAATTACATTTTGTTTATATATCCTGATCAATTTTTTTTCACTATGACATTTTAGATTCACATGTATGAAGTATTATTGTTCTTCAGTGATGGTGTATTTTTGGAATTGAAGACTAATCAAGAGTTACTCAAAAAAGAAAAAAAAGGTAAGTGCTGACTTGGTTTTCTGTAGAGGGAGCTTTCATCAACCCGAAAAAAATAATGGTAGTGCGTTATAGTTGAGGCTTAGTCATACTACAGTAAAAGCTACTAAGATAATCTATATTTTTCATTGAGTGAGGAGGCCCATTTAATGTGGGTATAAAAGTTTTGATTTTTTTAAAATTATTTTATTTATTTATTTTTTAATGCAAAATTAAAACCATGAACTACCAATAAAAAAGTAAACAGTAAAATATGATATTTTTCTTTTTTATTCTATGTTATTACAATTTTTTTTTATTCGGTCCCAATTTTTCCGGTCAATTTCTAATAATGGATTTCCGTGAAGTTTTTTGTTTGTTTTGTGAAGTACAGAATTCTTCTCAGGGGTACAGTACCAAAATTGCTCTAGAATGGGTTCCCTTTGTACCATAACCTTTTCCGGGGCAGTTGCATATGTTCTGTTGTTTCCATCTCTTTTCAAATTAATAAATTGATAATTAATAAATTGGTCATCTGTTGATACTCCTATTTTTAAGTGTTATTTTATTGAAGAATGCCCTATATATTATAATATTCCTTTCTGTTGAGTAGGATTGCCTCTT